CAATGAAACATTGATCACAGCCACGAGTTCATATTCCAAGTCAAAACATAATGAGAAGGAATCAAGTATATATCATTGAAGTGTGTGAAAAGGTTCTTCCTGCTTGCTCACTTGCTCCCACACTATGTGCCTGTTCATGCGTATCATCCAACTCCCAAAGTCCCAATAGGAAAAAGGAAAAAGGAAAAGCTAGTCGTGTTTGCTACAAAGGAAAATGCTCATCGTTCGCTGACCGCAGTGAATGACTGTTTGGACTAGAGAGTCTTGCAATGCTTCCGAAAGTTCCCAACGAAAGTACGCCTGCAAGGCCAGAGATGACACCGTCCTGAGCGCCGATAGGAAGACAAGCCGATGCACCTCCCATTAAATTACGCTGGAATGGAAAAGAAAAATGTTGTGGTGTTCCGATACGGTGGTACCTCCCGGTTTCCCGGTGTCCCATAATGGACTATAGTGATGGCGTAGACAATTTTGATAGACAGTTCTGTCTTGAACCATCGCAACTACAATGTTCCCGTGGGCGGCATTGCTATCATACAACACTGGGTCCCGGACATCCAAGTGATGTTGTCGCAAGCAGTCCGGAAGCGGGTATCGTGGCGTAGCGTAGTATGTCGGCTTAAGAGAGAGCACAACCTTGTAAGAACGATATCTCGAACCTTGACGTACGATACGCTCCTCAAGGGCTCGACCCTGTGATGTTGCCCTCACAAGGCCAGTTTCTCTTGACGTAGTGATAGAAGACTATTATGCACCTCTTCAACGCTCAGCCTTGGGATATTGGTTGAGCATGGCCATGACTGCGACACCTATTGCAACGACTGTAACCATGGCTCCGACCGGACCGCCATAGTACATGGAGTCTCGATCTGGCCGATGGGCGACCAAGGAATTAGATTTCCCTGTGGTCTTCGAGCCGTTCAACCCAACAGCATGCCCGTTCTGCTCGTTTTTGGTGGGAATGGACACTTCTGGGCCGTCCTCGTCAAGGTCCTTCTCCTTGATGATCATGATTTCGCCCTCCTCAGCTTCGCCGTCTGAACCTTCAACGAGAGTTTTGGTGGTCGTCCTTGTTGACGCGCTGTTGCTCCTGCTTCGCCGTTGGCTTTCTTTGCTAGCGGTCTTTGCATTGTCTTCTCTGATGTTCTCGATCATCTCTGCCAGAGTCTTGCGGTCGGCTTCAGCAGTCTCGGCTCTTTCCCTATACCGCTCCATCTGCTGCTTCATCTCGTTCATCTCGGACATCATGACCTCCAAACGTTGCTGCAAGCGAGTGGTGGTGTCCTCGGCACTGGTGGGAGATGCGGACCCGTTCTCAGATCCAGTGAGCTCTTCGCGCTGTGCGTCAGCTACTTCAGGCTCGTGTGTCTCGTCGTCACCAACCACGGTTTCAGCATCTCCATGGTCCTTGTTTGTTTCGCGTTCGAGTCGGGCCGCTCGCTCTTCAGCATCTTCTCTTGCGCGACGCTCTTCGTTCAACAAGGTTTCCAAGTCTCGTAGCCGCATTCCCTGTGTTTCAATCTCTTTTTTCGCACTGGTCAGGGCCTCTGTAAGTGTGGACAACTGTGCATCAGAGCGGACTGGGGACGCAGTCTTTGGACGCTCGGTATCGGATCTTCTGAGAGAGGATGCGACATCGGGTTTTTCAGGTAAAGGCTGTTGTGGAGGCGGCGCAGGTGGGTCTGAGAATCTCGCCTTTATGCTACCGTCTTTGATTGGAGATATCCTGACCTGGTTAATCGGCGAAGCCTTGACAGGTTCTTTCTTGGTGTCTGCAGAGAGGATAGCGTTGATGTACTGGTGGGTTTGTTGAAGGTCCTGCGACTGTTGCTTTGCGGCCTTGATCTCGGTCTACTACAATCAGCAGAGGGTTAATTTGAGCAGACACGCCATACTTACGTTGAGCTTCTTGACTACCTGCTCCATGGTGATCGGTTGTAGCCAGAAATTAGGGTGTCGGGGTTGCTGTAGAGCGTTTGGGTAGTTGGCCATGGCGCCCGGGCCCTGGAGGCGCTGACCGTTCATAGAACCTTGGCTGGGTGTGCGACCACGCATGTTTGCCATTTGCTGTTGGGGGTTGCCGCCCATGATATTGGAGAGTTGTGGCCCCTCGAGTTCGCCAAAGTTGAGGTCGATCATCTCGCTACTGGTTCGCGCGTAGATGCCAGCATGCTCAACGCGTGCAGCGACCTTGTGATGGACAATAGTCTTCTGGTCTTCGCTGACGATGTCGATACCGAGTTCCAGCATGTCCTGTTCTCGCAGCTCGTGGGGGTCAGAATCTCGGTTCTCTTGTGATAAGCGGGAGCCGTTGACGAAAGTGCCATTGGACGACTTGACGTCTCGGATCCATATCTTGCCCTGGCGGTCGGCCCACACCTCGGCGTGCTGCCTTGACAGTACCTTGGAGTCGAAGTATCCGTTGAGTGGCGTGGGGATCGTCTTGTTATTCGTTTGCCGGCCAATGCGCAGAACGTCGGGAAAGAAAGGTACGGTGATAGTCTTGCGCTCAAAGGTGCCATTCATGGGGACGAGATGCAGTACAGCGGTGCTCTCCTGACCCTGTGCGCGCTGTGCCCCGTTGGGCTGTTGCTGGGCCTGTACTTGGCCATTGTGCTGGGAGGGAACCATGGCGGAAGGTGCTTGCAGGGCACTCATGGCCGAGGCGGCTGATGACGCTGGGCCTGCCGACGCGATGGGTTGGGGTCGTGCAGCAGTGATTCCGGCGATGGGCTCAGTCTTAGTCGCAGGCCATAGTCCCTTGGGTGCTTTCGGTTTGCGGGTGGCAGCCCAGTCGGTGCCGTTTTGTTGCGGGGTGCCGTTTGGCTGTGATGCAGATGATGAGGCGGATATGGTCGATGTGCCAGACGCCTGTGACGAGAGGCTTGACGATGAGTTGGAACGTTGAGCGCTCTTCCGAGGCATAAACATGCCACCTCCGTTGGACACGCCCTCAGCGCTCCATGCCTGCCGATTGATGTTCTGATAGTTGACGGGGGGCGCAACTGCCGTCATTGGCGAGGTCGTGTGCTGGGAAGGAGGTGGGCGTGTTTAGTGTCCGGTCACTTTTCCTGCACGATTCCCGTCTTGTCCGTTTTTAGCGGCGCGACACCAGCGTGACGACGCCGAGAGCAAGCGACAACAACAGCAGGAGAGATGGCGAGGCCGGTCATGCACTCATGCGTCGCGATGGAGGCGGGTCTTGGAAATGCGTCGCGGGCGGGATTCTGGTGGCTCTGCCGCCGTCGTCGTCTCGGTCGTGTGCTGTCGGTAGAGAGCCCGTGGGACGTTAGGGCGATGCAAGGCGCTGCAGACGGGCGCAAAGCACAGCAGCACGGTCTAGCAAGTGCGTGAATGTCAGTCGAGGCCACCAGGCAGGCTGCTCGATGGGTTGGGGTGGGCGGTATGGATGGAGCCTCCAGCGTGTTTCGACGAGCAGGAGGTCTTGTTCCGGCCTTGGGCACGCTGCAACGCTTACTGGCCAGGTGGGCGAGACGACGGCTCCTGGGCTCAGGCGTAATGGCGACGTGGAGAAGGGGGGCTGCACGGATCAAAAAACCACTGCGAGACGAGACAACTATCGTTGTTGCTCTGGACCAGGTGCACTATTTCGCTTCATTCCTACGCCGCCGCACCTGCAGCCGGCCAGTGAAAGGGCCAGCCAGCTGTCTGAGAGAGAGTCACGTGCGCAATCGGCAAGCGCCGCTACATCAGGTTGGGAGAGTTGGTAGCAACCACAAAGAAATGCGAGTCGAGACTGACTCTATTATCTTGCGTACAGCTGCGCTGGACGCGCTAACGCCATGTTGATAATGCCCAGTGTTAGCTGCCTCGTGCATCCATGGTGGTGTTTTCCCCGGATTTCCGTCTTCTTTCCTTGGCGTTGACTGAGCCGCGGCGAGACTGCAGCTTCAAGTGGGACAATCAAAGTTCCCCTCTTGAGTTCCTTCACCACCTCGACGTTTGCAGAGCTTCACGATGCCGGTACCAGTCGGTTCAATGCCCCAAGGGGCACACGGCCCTTCAACACTAGACAAGCGTAGGGCTTTGTATCTGCATGCGCCTGGCAATAGCTAACAGCGCATAGTGAAGATGGGTGGCATGATGGGTGGATGTACGCTTCATGGCAGCCCCGGGATTGCATGAGCTGACTTTTTGACAGCTGTCGGATTGATCATCGGCTTCATCTTCGGTGCGCGCCATCCCATACATTCTCGGGAAATGCTCCCTTCTGACTACTGTAGGATTCACCAACATCGTCCGCTTTGGCCCTGGACCTAACGGAATGCTGCGCACACTGGGCCAGTACATGATGGGATCGGCAGCAACCTTTGGGTATGCATGATTATGCTTCGAAATTCCCACTGCAACATGCTTATATGTATCCCAGCTTCTTCATGGCCATCGGTACCACCATCAGGACAGACAGCTCGCCCATCGCCACACAAGCTTTCAACAGCGCGAGCCGACGACCCATCATCCTCCCAAGACACTACCAGTACCCACGCGCAGCTCAGAGTGAGAAGAACTAGGATATATATACTACTGTAAAGTGTTGATGGTAAGATCCTCGACAGATCCGGGACTATACGAAAGAAGAAGTGCAGCATCTACGATCAAGACTTGCGCATGTATGATAAGCAATAGAGAGGCCCTATCGAGGGCAGATGGTATGATTAGGCGCAATGGCAAGTGTCATTGAACGTCAGTAGTACAGGTTTTCACCTTCACTTTCACTTCTGGTCACCTGCTCATGGAGGCTATTGTAGTCCCACGTCGTCTGCGAATCGCGTCATGTTGTCATCCAATATTCCTATTGTGGATAGTTGTTTCTCTCACTCGCCGGCGCCTTTGATCGCTTTCTACTTACGTACGGTTTCCTACGACCACTTCTCACGCTGAACTTGCACTCAACCCATCAACTTTCACAATCGACTTCCACCTCGATTACAAGATCTGTTTTGCAATCTAATACCAACCCGACACTACCATATCGAACGATGTATCCACAACCGCCAGCCGGCCCGTCTGGTGTACCGTAAGCATTCCTCTATGAACCGTGTGAGAGACGTACACTGACATTGTATACCGATCTTCAGACCCCGGCCACCTGTAACATACAGTCGTCACTCTAATTCTGCTCGCACCCCACACCAACTGGGTGCAACTATTCAAGACGTCGACAACGAAGCCAGGGGTGAGGCGGCCTTCGATCGAATCAGTCGCGGCACTCGTGGAACCCACAGCGACGGCGCTAAGTTCAGGGCGGCGGCGCGAGCTACCATAAGAGCAGTGAATCGTCCACATGCCAATGGATCGCAGAGCAGACAAGGGATGCTGAAGAAGCCTTCTGTACGACCTGGGAAGGGCAAGGAGAAGTCAGACGCACCAGATAGCTCAGAGACTCACAGTTCCATCAAGGATGAGGAGGACGACATTGCAGAAGCCGTTGCGCGCTCGCTAGGCGAGCATGTTGGAGACCCTGACGTTACGACCCTGCTTTCACCCCTACTGGGAGAGCGGGACGACTCCGATATTGCCGAAGCCAAGATCATGTCGCTGTTTTCAAATGAGAAACCAGTAAATCATGCGGCTCAAGGTCACTCATACAAGTATATCGGTAATAGTTCTACGTCCAGTTCGACCGCGCCACATACAGTACTCTATTCTCTGCTCGATATCATGGAGGACAGTGCGAAAGCTGTAGAAGAGGTCGATCCTGAAAAGTTGGCCACAGCTGGTCCCGAGTTGGCACATAACATAAGGGGATGGCATAGCGTCTTGACCAGAGTAATCTTCGCGACTGAGGCAGCCGAGCACAAACGGATCCAAGATGTCCAGAACCAGTTGGACTACGATCGGGTTGTTGAAGACAAGCACAAGAAACAGATGGACACATTCAGAAGGCAGGTTGGAGCAAAAATACTTCAGATGCAGCAGGATCACCACCAGAAATTGAAGGAACAAAAGCAGACGTATGAGAATCTTCTTGTTAAACAGGTCACAAAGCTGTCTACACCAACGGCACAAGACCGAAAGCCAAGCACAGAGCCCTCCCAGCCCCGAATCATCAAGTCACTATCGCCACACCTCCAACACAAAGTCGACCGTCTGACCAACGAGATCGCTACGCTCAAGTCTGAGAACGAGACTAAAGTCTCTAAGATGCAGGCCTCGCATGCAGACCAAGTCCTTGTCCTACATCAGAAGATCGAGCGATTAGCTGACGCAAACGCCTTTCTCCGTGTGCAAGAGAACCCCAAGGACAAGGTGCAGGAAATGGAGAGGACGAAGCAGACGAACGAAGAATTGCTTGAGCAAATCAAGGACATCACAGGCGAGAACGCAAGGTTGAGGCAGAGGGTACCTCCAGTACCAGCTTTCCAGTTCACAGCTGGCGGTCGAGGATTCCCCGAGTCTGTTCAATCGGACCCTGGTCCGTCATCTCAAGAAGGTAGTGAGAATTGGTCGCGCAAGAGGGCTAGACGTCAATGAACAGCCGCGTCGCGTATACTGACCTACATGCGGGTACGGAAAGCGGGTATCGTGATAGCCGGGAAAATGCTGTACCAATACAGATGGACACGACCAGTGAGAATATTGAAAGCTCCTGCAGCATACAGAGAGAGCTTTCTCACCTACAATAAATTATGATTTACACCTGGGAGGCACTCACCAGTTTTTTACCTCAACACGGGCATCTGCAGAAGAGGTTGTATACCTCTAGGTTGCAGTACACACTCGCACACGGAACCATGGACCCACCTGACGTCCAACAGGCGCAATAGGAAGAACTACAGCCGGGCCCTGCTCTTCCGCGCAAGCCAACTACGAAACTCGTTTGACGTGCGGGTGAACCCCACAGATAAGACCCTAGCTACAAAACGCATGGGGTTTCGCGGTTTCGGAAGACGCAACTCATCGTGGAACGCGTATCTTTATGCATAAGAAGTGCCGCGTTCTCGAACGAAATGCTTATCAAGTAAGTGTTAGCATTTGGAGATCGTGTCGGGTTTGATTAAAGGAAATGAGATGTGATGGCTTGTTAGAGCTAAACGAGGATGACCTTCCGCTGCCGTGCCTAGAGTGATTGTAGAACAAGCAAGCAAATTACGACCGAGTCCATTCCTGATGACTACGTGTATTCGCTTTTAATGAAGCCATTCGCAACGCGAGGAATGGAAGTCGTATTAGACTTTTTGCTTTTAGTGTTCGGAGCCAGGAATGTGGGTCTGGTAGGCGCGTCGACGCGTAGAGGATGGCAGGTGCGGGCGCGTCATCATGCTTCCAACATACACGCTCAACCTTGCCTTCTAGACGACCAACTTTGAGAACCAGAGCAAAGAGCAGCAATCTTAGTAGATACGACCAGGCGATATATCAATTCGCTATCCACCAATAGTAGCATTCCGCAGCAGCCTCACGGCTTTGTACCTGACGATCATAATCGACCGCCCCTGGTCATACCTGTCAACTCAAGTGGGTGATGGCGGCATCGGCGACAGCTTGGCGGCAACACATTGATGACGCTGACCAGGCGAACGCAGTTCCCCGACCCGGCAAGCTCACGGCTGTAAGATGATTTGGGACATGGGTTTGCGAGGACTGCGACCCTTTTGGTCCCAGAGTGCCGCATCTCATCATTAGCCCCGCCGGAGTGACGTTTCACAGCAACAGCCTGCCCATGTCGCGCCATCGTTGCGGGCTGCACCCGGCAGCAACCGTGGCACATATTACCTTCTCACATCCCTAGTATCTGGATATTTTGGCACTTTTTCACTTTTTTATATCCGATACGAGTTGTTTGTCTCCGCATGGCCCATTGAAGAGTATTCGTGGCGTAGTCACTCGCCATGGAGCCACGCCGACCAGTTTCCACATCTCCTTGTAGATGTTTATCGTTCGCGACAAAGAGACTAAGTCCTGTCTTTGTGCTTGATGCACCGTCGCCCTGCCAGTTTACTCCAAGGTACGAGCTCTCGTAACCACCCAGTCCTTTGTGTACGACATGCGCAAGGACCTCACCATACCCGATGGCTCACAAGAATCCAAGATCTCGTCATAAAGACACCTAGCGACTGTCATAAGGGCATCTGAAACATCTACCCCAGTGATTTTTCAAAGAACGAACTATACCCATACGCACACTACGTTATACGCACGGCGTAGAAACCCACCCAGTAATTCTTAATCATCGTCCCATACATTCCAAAAACAAAGCCAGCAATGTACACAGCCATCGCACTCATAGCCCTCTTGCTCACCATCACGACCACAACCACCACCTCAGCCTCGCCCATAACACGTCACCTTTCCCGTCGTGGTCTCCCTGGCGCCTACTATACTTGCACAAAACCCAATTTCGCTGGCGACTGCAGCTGGACGCAACCCAATACGGAATGCCACATTCAAGGTAGCCCCGGAGGTATCGCATCAATCGGTCCAGATCAAGGTACTGTATGCTCGCTCTTTAAGACGGCTGTGTGCACAGGAGAGTCGCTCAAGGAGGTAACCTTTCCTGGTATTGCCATTAATATGCCGGAAATTGGAAGCTTCCAGTGCTCCAGGCAGACGAGTAATGATGGCAAGGGTGGGAAGACCGCAGGTCAGGCTGGGACGCTTACAAATGCAGACGTCCAGGCTGCTGGTTTAGAAATTGGTGACTTCGGGTTAAAGACGGTGAAGACGGAGGGGAGGGAGCAGGGCATGATCGGTTTGAAGAAGGGCGTTTACTATTGATTGGTTTTTGCTTATGGGAGCAAAACGGCGAAAGAGGAGGGGCCACATACGACGGGATGGGTGTACGATTATAAACTCTTCGATTCATGTATCATTTGGAGACGGGACGGCGTTAGACTGCCCTGGGACCACTCCTGATAACTTTGTTGGTTATCTTTATATCCATTTGTCTTTAATAGGAAAAAGGCTCTTCGGTGGCTTTGGCAGTTGGTTGTAAAGTGAGTGAAGTGCTGCCGGCATCATGGCTTACTCTTGTATGAGGCAGCTACGGAGGACGAGTCAGTTGTATAGGTACTCAGAACATCTTTTTCTTATTACTGGAAGCTCAACATGAATGATACAATTGGCTTTGCGTACGTTGGATACTGCGAGATGTCGCTAATACTGCCTCGAAGACCCACCACGCTCCCCAATGTGTCGTCGTGAGTCGTGGTAATAGCCTGCAACTCGTCGTCTGATCTGCTAACTTGCAAGTTATGACAGATGGAAACATGTTGGACACGAAAGGCTCTAACCAGCTAGGTGAAATAGACATGGTGAAGATGACAATGGTTGGTAGGTCATGGTAAAGCTGCGATTGGAAAACTATCCTCCGCGGCGTCCAATGACGTCCGCGAGGTCCCTGCATAACTTGGGGCCACATCGCCGCTTGGCATTCATCCCCACAAGGACCCTCGGCTTCGTCTTACCGCCATTGCAACGTCGCCTTGCTCTGTAGACACCTGTAAACACTCAGAATCAAACTATACTCCTACCCACAAGTCAAGATGAAGGTTACCGTCCTCCTCGCTGCTCTGGCTACGGCCGCCGTCGCTGACATCGTCAACAATGAGGCAAGTAGTAACCCAAGGAAGCTGTACAGCATGCGCAACTTACTGACATGTTCTACAGCACCTCAAGACCGAGGTCCTTACCGAAGCCAAGTGCACGCGCAAGACCAAGGTCGGCGACAAGGTCAACGTCCACTACCGCGGCACACTCCTAGACGGCAGCGAGTTCGACGCCTCATACAACCGCGGTTCCCCCTTGAACTTCGCTGTCGGTACCGGTCAGGTCATCAAGGGCTGGGACCAGGGTCTGCTTGACATGTGCCCTGGCGAGAAGAGGAAGCTCACAATTCAGCCCGAGTGGGCCTATGGCTCGCGAGGTGCTGGCCCTATCCCCGCTAACAGCGTTTTGAGTAAGTCGGAATTCTGGGACACACGACGGACAGATGGGCTAACGCGAAGCAGTCTTCGAGTCTGAGCTGGTCTCCATCGAGGGTGTCGACAAGGAGGAGTTGTAGAGGGTTTGGACTGACCCGTATAACGAAGATATGCGAGCATGACGTACTAAACGAAGTGAAATACATCCCACAAATCTGGGATAGTAGTTTCCATGTACATACATAGCATCAGTTAGGTAGAGAGAATACTACCAGAAACTGCAAGCTTGTTCTGTGACTTTGTCAGTACTGTTTGAACTCTCTTTTTTGGCTCTGCATAATAACAGATTTGGGTTTGGGCGCTATTCTTCAGCGTCGATACCACCCATCTTCCCTTTCGCTTCCGCTTTCACCACTAGAGTCTACACATCCTCTTCAATGACGAGACTTTGGCTTTAATCTTTGGTCAAGATGAAGAGGATGTGAAATGCGATGTAAATTCGCTCCACCCCACCCCACCTCCAACAAACACACAAAAACAACCCAAGAATATCACTAGACCATATAAATACATACTCACACAGACAAAACAGTACTAGTCAGCCAACCCACATCAC